GTCAGATTTCACGCTACGGCTAGATTCAACCGACGTACATGCGCAGTGTCTCATTTTAGGGGAAATTTACTTCCGGCAGCCGTATCAGAGCCAGCCGTAGCGATTTGCTTAAACTACCTAATCAAATATTCGGCGGCTCCTCCTAGCTTCCGACTGCTGCCGAACACTGTTTTGTTGTCTAAACTGTGCTCAACGATTTGATTACCTCGCGCTCTGCAGTAGTCGGAAGCTGGGAGGAGCCGCCGAACATTTGATTGACAGTAGAGAAAAACGCATTTGTCGGTTGAGCTTTGAATTTTAGAGTCTGCATGTTATTAAAAGGCGCAGTAAAGATGAGCCTACTTCAGCAGCTTGCAGGCAAATAAATATGAGGCAATTAGACTGAACTGTCTGTAAATATTGAGCCAATATGTGGTTGACACCAAAATAGGCCAAAAATTTACTCGACCATCAAGCAGAGCAGCGAAATGCAAGGATACCAATTTTACAACTGATATGTGTGACGAGTAACTATATAAACTCCCAAAACGCAATGAGGTATCGTTGCTGGCGTCGTTGTTATGATGTTTGGTAATGTTACATAACCGCTAACAATGTAAAATATGCAAGGCAAAATACCACATCACCGAATAAGTTTGAGAATTTAACCTACAGTAACCGCAAGCTATACAGTAATCAGTCTTACGATAAGCCTCGACAGTCGAAGAGCACGAGGTTTTGAAGAACCTTGGCAGGCCGGCCAATTTTAAATCTTGTGTTGTACACGCAAAGTTTGAAAAACCCGTGAAACTATTAATTGGCACGAAAAAAAATCTCGAGTGAGGGTCAGAGAAGTTATGAGTGAATAAATAAGATCGAATGCAAATAAACATTTCTCCTCCTGTTTAAAACTATGACCAAAATTCCTTCACGCTTTCAAGCTGTAAGTAGACTTACAAAACGTGCCTTCTAATTATCTTTCCTCGAGATAACTTAACGATAGCAAAGTCACGAACGTTTAAAACGCGTCATCGTGCTCAACGAAACTACTTAATATCAGTCTACTTGGGTACGTTAACACCCAAGAGGTAGTAAGAAGTTACCAAGGAAGAAGTAAACTCAAGATTGAGGAAGAACGAGACGAATTACGAACAGTCCTGCTGATTAAGTCAAAACAATTGGATTACACAAGACGCAAAGCCCGTGACGTAACTCGTAAAATAAGAGAGACTCGTGCAAGTCATGTTTTCAGAGAACATGACAACACCCTGAACAAAATGACCGAACAATAACATAAGACAGAGTTTGCGACATGAAGGAATGTAACAGCAACATACCCAGCATTTCAGCCATGTATCATCCTCGACAAGTTGATTAAGAAAGCCTTCCATGGTATGAGAAGTGGCCACTTCGAGTCTTGAAACTTTATTGGGTTTCTTCGCCACAGCTGAAGAGCCTGGAATAATAAAAACACTTCACAATGCAAATTGGACGTTATACGTGCCGGCAACAGGACATTACCTTCTAGCCCGGGATAGCGCTACTACAGGAACTCTGAACTCAAATGCTGTCTAAAAATAAATCAATTATAATACAAAAAATCAAGTTCTCTTTTATGCAAAGAGGTCCTTAACAATAATAGCAATAGCAAAGGAAGCTCTGAGTACAATATAAGCATATTAAGCATACATGTCTATATATAAGTACTCTTAAGTCTATATTGCTACAAGTAGGTGGGAAAATGTTTTTTCGTGGTTCATTAAATTTCATCCAAGTTCAAGGTAGTTTAGATGTGAGATACAGAGGACATTTTTTTCTGCGTGTTTTCTTTCCAAAGTCAAGTGTTCTTTGTTAAAGGGAGAACACTGTCCCCACTGTTAAAGTATTTTTAGCCGACAAAACAAGATACAAATTAGGTCCATAAATATCTGTTTATTATATATAAACTGCAATGAGCAATATTGTGTAATACTAGGGAAAACAACAACGTTTCACGTTCATTTGAAGACCTTTGGTCTAGAGGCAGTCAAGAACGTTGGAAACCCGTATCTAAGAAAAACAGAAATGAAGGCGTGACGGCTGTCACGTAATCTGGTCACTCTACTATTGGAATGAGGCCAGCATCACCGAAGAAGCAATTATGCGTCAGAGTTTAACATGTGGCAAAAATAGACATAATGCCAACGTCATTTAGAAATTTTACTCACCCAGTCATGCAGACAGCCAATGCAACGATCTCTTTTTTTAGCGACTAACGAAATTTAGAATGATTTTACTTTCTGCGTTCCCAGCTCGTCCCGTACCCACATGTAACTTACCTGAACTGCTTTCAACATTTGAACTGTGCTCCACCAAAACAAAGCCATCCTCTACGCTAGCACTTGTGGTTACATCTACTATAGGAACAGATAACGCCGTGCCACCGGGAACAGATTTGGGTTTCGATTTGGTCAGCTTGTGCCCAATTGAACTAAATATGGACGCCTTTTTGTTACCCACAGGGGAAGAATCCTTGTTCTTCTTACTGCCTTCCTTGTAGTCTGTAAGCGATGGGCTTCCTAGTACAGGGGACGAAGTAGGAGATGCACCCAAAGATTTCTCAGGTGAATCTGGCACGGGACCTGCGCAACAAACCACAGAGAGAAATGGGTGTGCGGTTCTCAATAATGATCAATATTTAATTTTTCCTGACAAAATCAGTAAATTTCAAGTAGACAGATACATGTAATGAAAACACTAATAAATATGAAATAACAAGAAAGGTCTATTTGCTTCACATACCGGTAATCGAAAAAACCCGGATGTTAGGGGTACTTTCCCGCCAAACCTACGCGGTCAGCAAGCTCGCCGAAAGCAACGATAAAACTTCTCCGGAAAAAAAGAAACGAAACTGATGTGATGTTGGTATTACATTGAAACGACCTGAGCTGCAGTTGGTAAGTAAAAATGATAGAAAATTTAAATCTCGGGAAAAACGAAATGTTCGTCGACTTCTACCCCCGTTGAGTTTAGCCCATTCAGCATATAACCGAGACAACTAACTGCGGACTAATAAAATATCATGATCAACTCTTTCAGCTTTACTTACTTGACGAATTTTCAATCGACTTTATTTCCTCATTCAGAACCATTATCCATTCCTCCAGTTCAGCATCATTTTCAGCCGCAAACAAGGGCTCTTCCTTATCACATGTTAACACGAACATGTGGGGCTTGTCATATTCCGCATCGTTGTCATCCAATATTTTTATCGAAGCACCATGCAAGGGAACCTGAATCTCTGCTGTCCCGATCCCAAAGTCTTTATAGCAAAACAGCGACTGTTCTTTTACAACACACCAACGATTTTTCCAATGTGGTCCTTTCTTTCGAAGCAAATATCCAGAAAATGTTGTGCTTTGAAATGAAGTCAACTCACGCGGTGTTTTGATGTCATCTTTACGACCTGTCAACAGAGAAAAAACTAAAATGAATGTTTGAAAAATATAGTCATCACGTAAATTGTAGTTTTTCTTTTAGCCATCCCCACACACGTACCATAAAATTAATACGAGTTATTTGTATTGGAGACAAACTGGTCGTTGCGGTCGTTGCTAGTTTAGTCCACTAACCTACAGAAAAAGGAACTCGACCAAATATTTCTACAATATGGAACTCACACTAGTTCAAAAACATGCATACATTCTCATTTATTTACCTTTCTTGAAGAACGAATCTGTTATCCTTGACTTGACACGCAGAGCCTTAGATGACAATGAATTAACCAGTGATCCATGTCTCTTCACTTTGGAATTTGGGCTTTGAAGGTCTGAGACTGAAGAAGACTTTCCTTCACAACTGCTTGCTGACAGAAAACTACCCTCTGGGTTATCTGAGTTGGAAGAAATCATATTGATTAACCAATTGATTCCCACCTTTCAACCAACCATTTGCACGTGCAAGGGTTTTGTTGCCCGCAAGGTGACAACATTTACAGCTACTTGCAGGATGGCCCGGTTCCCGGCGTCGACAAAACCAGGATCGGA